TGAATTTCCCCTTTAAGGGCCCCTATCAGGCACCATTAAAGCGTCCTTTTAAAGGGGAACTCCACCAGCTTTTCAAAATTTTTGTATCATTCCCTCATTAAGAAGTAAACAAAGTCATTCACAGTGGTTTGACATGAATTGCTTCATTATACGCCCAACTTGCCTTATCTTGACCATTTAATCATCTAAGAATTTCCTTTTAACTGCAGTTAAATTGCACAGTTAGCCAGACTGATTGGCTTTGGCTGGTTTTTTGTGTGCTATAAGGCTGTAAAACAGCATCATGTGACTTGAAATGGCCATCAGAGCAGCTCGTGCTGATTAGAGAACGCTGGAAATGTCTGTTTTAGTGTGTCTTATATGCTTGTGGGAGTGTTTAAAGGTGGAGTTTTGAAGCAGATTATATCGAGAAGCGTCCGTGTGATTTAAGCAGCTTTTCATCAGAGGCTTTTAAGGGTTTTACTGTCTGTCAAAACAGGCCGTTTCATTAAAAGAGGCCCAGACGTTTCCAAGTCTACACAACTTTTCATCTCTTTTGCTCTGATGAAAGAGGCGCCGGTCCATCTAAGAGCCCAGAGAGAGGACATTTTCACACATTACACTAAGCCCTGCTCCGAGTAATGAGGGTGTCTGTGTGGTTCTCAGGTGGAGCAGGAGCGCCTTGCCGAGCGTCTGAAGGAGCAGGACCTGCTGTTAGATGCCGCCAAGAGAAACATCCAGTCTGAGCTGCAGGGGGCGCTAACAGACAGGCTACTGCTAAAGAAAGAACTGTGAGTTAAAGGGAAAGTTGGCTGAAGCATCATATTTACACAGCTTAACACACACATAGGCGATCAGCCAGGTCATGATTACTGTTCACATTTTACTACTTTAGTTTTAGCGTCAGAGTTTAAAGAGTAACGTTGCTAACACTAGAAGTCAATAGTCACCCAAATCTTTTCTGCACATACCTCCACAAAACATCTCACAACCTGCGTCCAGGTCTTCATTAAGGAGGTGCAGACTTGTAGACGTGGTTTAGGACACAGTATGAGTTACTGTGAGCTATAAAAATGAACAAAACTCCCCTGTGTAGCTGAACTCTGGGACGAGCCATTAGAGCCATTAGGCGTTGTGCTGAATTCTGACACCCCTTCAAAATCAGAATCCCCTTTATGGGCATGCACTTCATGTAGGCATACAGATGCTAGATTACATCATACGTCTGTTTATAAGTAACCGAAAAATATTGGATTTTTGATCTGAGATTATAAATATTTATATAAATTTAAGTATAAATATAGAATCCTTATGCCTGCGTGACGTGAATCAGCAGGGGAGTCTGATTTCTGCACAACACCTGTTATCTGCTATTCCTGCACCTACATTCTGAACAAAAAGTCTTCAATATTGTACCAAAGAAAGGTTCTATGACTTATAGAGGAACAATAGAGGAACCTTTTTGCTGCTGTTTAGAACCACTTTTGTAAAAAGGTTCTTTAAAGAGCCTTATACAAACCGATTTTCTATCATAGGAAAGAACTGTTTAACCACACAAAGATCCATTTATGCATTTAGAGTGTTCGTAGTTCTGTATAACACTGAATGTGTTTACATGCACTTCATAATCCGATGACTGCAGAAAATCAGATTTTGTCAGTAATCCGATCAACGCGTTTGCATGCACTTCATACATACATACATACATCATCTAAACCGCTTATCCTTCTGGGTCGCAGTGGGGTGCTGGAGCCTATCCCAGCTGTCTTTGGGTGGAAGGCAGGATCCTACATGCACTTCAGTAATCAGATAATGTGGAAACTCCAGGTCTACATGAGTCAGACAGTAATCAGATGTCTGTTTTACAACCAGCCAATAAACTCACAGAAGACGCGACGTAAACATAACGTAAAACTCAAACTTCATGCCGCATTTTTTTATTAAAACATCGCAACTTTACCTGAAAATATGAACAAACATCATCTAGAGGATGAAGAATGTTTAAATCATTGGTCAAGCGTGTATTTGATTTCAGTGTCGCTCCAAAAGTGTTTTGCTGCATCTCGCGGCGACGCTGCTCGCTTATTTCCAGTACCGTCATCTGTTTTCGCACATGCTCAGACTGAGAAATACGAAAGAAATCAGAGTAAGAGTTTACAGCACTGAGAAATCTGATTACTGAGCTAAAATCCAGCCTCTTTATCAGATTTCTTAATCAGATTTCTAGATCGGAGTATGGTGTTTACATGGCCATTTAAATAATCAGATAACTGGAGAAATCAGACTATGATTGGATTATTAAGTGCATGTAAACACACTCATTGTCTTAATAAAGATCCCTTACGTGTACTCAATAATCCGATCATAATCCGATTTCTGCAGTTATCTGATTATTCAAATGGTTGTGGAAAAAAAAAAAGAATCCAGGAGACTGGATTTTAGCTCAGTAATCAAATTTCTCAGTACATGTAAACTCTTACTCAGATTTCTTTGTTCAGGCTTCAAGCTGCTGCTACTGTTTTTAGCTTCATGCTAACGTACTTTCGTCCGTGTTCATAGAGAACAGTGAGTCACACAGTGTCAGAAACCACAGAATCAGGTCTATTAGAGACACTGAACACCTCCACACAGTCTGAGACTGTGTGTGATCATTTAGGCATACGGTTAGCACCATGCTAATTGCTAATTACATAAGCTTCCATTGCCCGTTAGCTATGTTAGCCACGTAGCTCCAGTGGAAAACTAAAGAAGCGAACTTATCAGGGTGAAATTGGGTAAAGCTGATTTTCTGCTGGACTGTCCCTTCGAAGGAGCTGACCCGTAGTGACCTTTTCCGTGAGTCAGTGATTTTATACAGTTTGAGGGACACAATCAGCAGCCAATCAGGTGTGTTTGTTTCCCCTTAACAGTGATGCTCTGAGGGCAGATCATGCCAACCTGCAGCACAGCTCAGCCGTTGCCCTGGAGACGGCGGCCTCTCATCAGGACCTGCTGGACAGAACCATCGAGCGTCTGCGCGGGGAGGTCAGCAGCGCCGCCAAAGAGAGAGAGGCCATGCAGAAGGAGAGGGACGAGGCAAAGGCCGAGGTAAACACTTATGATGTCTGTGTGGTTTTATCAGTTATAATTTATTGTGAAAAAGTATTCACCCCTTTGCATATTTGTCACACTTGAATGTTTCAGATCATCAAACTATTCTGAATATTAGACAAAGATAATCCAACTAAACACATAATGCTGTTTTTAAATGATGATTTCATTTATTGAAGGAAAAATGCTGTTCAGAACTATCTGCCCGTATGTGAAAAAGTAATTGCCCCCTTGGCTACTAAATCAACCGGTTAACCAAATTCAATGGACTACTGGGTTCAGTTTCACTGACCACTGGGCATGATTACTGCCAGACCTGTTGAATGTAAACATCACGTAAATAGAACCTGTCTGGCAGTGTGAAGCAGCTAGAAGGTATCAGAGAGCAGCACATGATGCCACGTTCTAAAGAGATTCAAATACAGATGCAAAGTCCGTGAAATCAGCTAGTCTTGAAATCAGCCACTCCAGAGAACCACAGAGAAAGCCATTATCCACTTGGAACAGTGGTGAACCTTCCCAGGAGTGGCCGGCCAACCAAAATTTCACCAAGAGCGCATCCAGGAGGTCACAAAAGAACCCAGACGGACATCTAAAGAACTGTAGGCCTCACTTGCCTCAGTTAAGGTCAGTGTACATGATTCCACACTAAGAAAGACACTGAGAAGAAATTACATCCATGGCAGAGTTGCAAGGCGCAAACCACTGATGACCAAAAAGAACACAAAGGCTCATCTCACATTTGCCAAAAACATCTAGATGACCCCCAAGACTTTTGGGATAATACTCTGTGGACTGATGAGTCAGAGGTGGAATTGTTGGAAGACATGGGTCTCGTTACATCCGGCATAAAGCTAACACTACATTCGTCCATAAGAACATCATACAGAACACCGACAGTGAAACGTGGTGGTGGTAGTGTGATGGTCTGGGGCTGCTTTGCTCCTGCAGGACCTGGACCCAGGACCTGAATTCTGCTCTCTGTCAGAAAATCCTAAAGGAGAATGTCCGCCCATCAGTTAGTGACCTAAAACTCAACCAGAGTTGGGTTATACAGCAGGACAATGAGCCGAAGCACACAAGCAAGTCCACCTCTGCATGACTCACTTGAATGACCTTTTAAACAGGCTTTTTTGTTACTGTGTCTTTAAGAACGATGTATGCAAATGAGCTCTGTTCTGACTATGCCTCATTCAAAGAGCAGTCCAGGCTGAAACACTCCATGCTAAACTGCTCTAGACTGAACAGCCGGATATATGCAAATGTGTGACGTCACAAAAACAAAGAATTCAAAACGGGCTGTTTTTGCAGTGTAGGTTCCATATATGGACTGTATGGACTGGAGAGTGAAACAAACAGTGTTTACAAACTATATCAGCCACTTTTATTTACAAAAAAGTGAGAAATATTCAATTTTCCATGATATGGGCTCTTTAAACGTGAAAAAATATATATTTTTCTATGTTTAATCCTCTTCAAACCTGTTGGAAATCATCTCAGGTGGCTCCTCATGAAGCTTTTTGAGACAATATCAACAGTGTGTAACAATTCTCCCCCCCCCTTCTCTCTCTCTCTCTCCCTCTCTCTCTCTCCCCACCTCTCTCTCCCCCTCTCTCTCTCTCTCCCCCCCCTCCCTCTCTCTCTCTCTCTCTCTCTCTCAGGTGTCTGCTGTGGTCTCCAGGCTGCAGAAGGAGCGGGGGATCTCTGGAAGTGCAGCTCTCTGAGCTCCAGGTTCAGATTCACAGATGTGTGTATGCTCAGTGCTGTAGGTGCAGATGTTCGTCCAGTCTGACTGTCTCCTGCGTGTGATTGACAGGTGGAGCTGTGTGAGATGAGCTCAGCCCTGCAGAAGAGAGAGGAGGAGAACAGGGGGCTGATGGGAAGACTGGCAGCAGTGCAGCACCAGCAGGTACAACATCAGAGGTCAACAGGGTCAGACTGACCTGTGACTGAGTGTAGAACCAGGTGTTAACTCTGTCTCTCTCTCTCTCTCTCTTTCTCTTTCTGTTCTCTCTCTTCTCTCCCTCTCTCCCTCTCTTTCTCTCTGGGCTCTCTCTCTCTCTTTCTGTCTCTCTCTCTCAGTATTCTCAGCAGCAGGTAGAGCAGATGTTGAGGGAGTTGATGGACAGCAAGAACAAGCTGACCTACGAGAAGGGCAAACTGCAGGTCTCTCTCTCTCTCTCTCTCTCTCTCTCTCTCTCTCTCTCAGTTCAGTTCATTTCAAGTTTGCTTTATTGACAGTTTACATTTCTATTGTCAAAGCACTGTAACAGTTATCTATATATAAAAAATAAACAATAACAATACAACAGTTAAGAAGGGAAATTGTTAATTATCAAATAATAATACAAAAGTACATCTAATAATAAAACAAAATGTAAGGATTCGTCAAAAACCAGACGCTCGCGGATTAAAAGGACAAAAGGTGTTTTAATAGGGCTAGGCAGATGCAAGGTCAGAAGGCAGGCGTGGGTCAAATCCAAAAGACAAACCATAAACATATCATATCACCGAGCAGACAGTCCAAAAAGAGGCAAGGCAAAAACGAAGTCAAAAAAATAGGCAAAGGTCCAAAAACACTGATCAGCAAAGACAGGCAACAGTACAAAAGGGCAAAGGCAAAGTCAAAGAACGAAATAATGGTCATAAACGTACAGCAAATAACACTTGGGGAAAACGCTCAGTATGTTCGTGGAGAAGCAATACCTCGCAAAGAGCGAAACTAAACTAAACTAGCCTGGGCTTAAAAGCTAGTCTGACTGAGTCATATGATTCAAAACACAGGTGCAAACATTTAGTACTCAGATGAGCGCGACCTCTGATAGGAGCGCGTAATCTCCTCAGAGGTCATGTGATTCCCCATAGTATTGTGGGTAATGCAGTCTGTCGAGTCCAAGTTATCTTGTGACACGGGTCGATGTGTGACACAAAATCTATTTAATATGTGTCTGCAGTATATAACAAGAGAAAATGAATATATTACATATATACAAATATATAACAGTGAGTAAAAGAAAAGATTGTTGTGTGGTGGTCACTCACTGGTCACTCTCTCCTCCCTCTCTCCTCTCTCTCTCTCTCTCTCTCTCTCCAACTCTAACACTATCCATATCAAAGCAGAAGACAAAGGCCCAGTCCCACTTCACCCTTCGCCCCTACCACTGAGCCCTTAGCCCTCTGTTTTGTGCGTTCACGTCTAGGGGTAGGGTGTCCCGATCGTTGAAATAGTGGGGTAGGGCGAAGTGTTGGGGCTACATGACCCTCCAAACTAAATCACTAATAGCATGCTAATGTCTCGGTAGCTAGCTAGCTAACTTTCCCGTTCCACCTTAAATAGTCCAGCAGTTCTGATGCCTGAAACGCCAGAATGTAACTGCTGCACCATTTAAGGTGGAACGGGAAAATTCAAACAAGAATCTGGCAAATATCTGACTTCAGCTTCATATCACTGAAGAATTAGTGGTGGGTGATAATAAATAATTGCCCCCCTCTTTGAAGTCATATGATGCCCTAAATGTAACTAAAGCCCAGCAGTGAGGAGCTGAACTTTACCCTCCTCTGCTGTCACTGCAGACTGGCAGCGTCGCCTACAGAGCAGCACCAGTAGCTGTTAATGAAGTGATGCTCTTTTTATTTGAGGGTCCCATTTCGTAGGAGAGATTTCAACCACTACCCTGTAACTCAGTTCCAAGGGGTTAGGGTGACACTCAAAAACAAGGGGTAGGGGTAAAAAGCAGAAATGGGATTGGGCCTTAGGTTATTTCTTTTGCTGTTTGTCAAAAAGTTCCAGTTGCTGGGTCACACAGCCGATCTGTCAGCTTGGTTGTTGCCGTGCCAACAGCAGAGAGGACAGTGACAGTCGAAAAATCAGAGAGCGAATAAAATAATGTTCTGCATTTCCACAGTTCAAATTTTCAAATTGTGTTTGGTTTGCAAGATCTTTATGATTTCTCTTATAGTGAAGTTGAAAGATTTAGATTTAGCCACGCCCCCTGCATTTGCACATGAGTATGTCTGATCCCCAGGCTGTGTGTGTGTGCATGTGTTCAGACTGAAGTGCAGCAGCTGGGGGCGGAGCTAAAGGCTCTGGGGGCGGAGCGCACAAAACAACACCAAACAGCCTCGTCTGGGGAGAACAACTACACACAGGTACACACACAATGGTCATTTATACAGAGGAAACACATTCACACCCATTCTCACCGTCCTCTCACTATCCTTTCTCTGCCCGCTGAAGGTGGCCGCTGTGTACGATGCGCTGGACGCAGCTCAGCTGGCCAACCGGAGTCTTTCTCAGAGTCTGGAGACGGCCTTACTGTCCAAACCAAACGTTACAACACGTTTCTGTTAGAGCTGGTCAGGTTCTGAGAGTGACCGCAGGCCTGCTGGCACCAGTGATGTAATTTAAAGGACTGGTGGGTGTGTCTCTGTGCGTGAATGTATGATGTCATCAGGGAGGCGGAGCTACAGGAGGCGAGGGAAGAGATTGGCCGCTTGGCTGGGCAGGTCGACGCCCTGAGGCAGCAGCTGCGCCGAGAAAAGCACCACAGGAGGAAGTCGGCTCAGCGGGATGTGGCTGAGGTACTCTCTGATTGGTCAGCACCTCTGACCTCACAACAGCTCAGTTAGACTGGGGTTAATTATATGTGAACTTGTGCTTAAATAAACAGTGTTAACGCGCAAAACACTCAGAAGTTGAATATGCATATTTTTATGATTTAGTTATTATTTTTAATTTTTTGTTGTTTTTTTGTTGATTTATTATTTTTATTGTTATTATTATATTTTAATTGGTGTCATTTATTTGATTTTTTTTAATCTTTACTGCTGTTGTCTTAGTTTTGCTTTCTATTTTATTTTTTACCCTACTTAGTTGTTTTATTGTTTATTTTTATTGCTTTATTTATTACTTTATTTATATTTGTTTTGATTTGTTTTGATTTCTGAATCCTATGTGCCTCATTTTTATTTATGTTATGTACTGTTTTAATATTTTCTTTCTTGTTTATTTTCTTAACTGCACCTTTTCTGTCATAAAATTATTATTTATTTATTGTTTTCGATCCCTTTTTAAATAATGCTGGGCTACATTGTAAATGAGGGTCAACCTCAATGTACTCCAAGTTTAAATAAAGGTTGATTAATTTATTGATTGATTGATACTCAGTTTTTCATTATTTATAGTCAGGCTTTCATTTTTACATGTATATTTTTATCAGTAGTTTGAATTTTATATATATATGTATGTTCAGTTTTTTATCCAATGTTCTTGACACATCATCTATAGGGAACAATAAACAAAATATAAAACATAAAAAAAAAAAAAATTCTGCAAATTGTAATGCACAATTTCCGTTTCTGTTTGTTTACCATATTTGGTGTTTAATATCTTGGAAAGAAATATAAGATAAAGCATAAAATGTGCCATAACTTCTGCATTTTAGGTTTTATTTTTTATTGCAATAAAAATAAACAGTGATTGTGCATTAAATTGTGTGTCAACTGTTGGCTGTATGACCTCCTGCTCATTAGTCGCCCTCTTTTCTCCCATTTTAATCTCTCCTCCTCTCTGCCAGCTGAAGAAAGCACTTGAAGATGCGTCCAGCAGGTCAGGTGACCTGTCGCGAGCCAATCGGGAGCTGCGTGAGAAAGTGTCTGAGCTGGAGAACCTAGTGTCCAGTCAGAGGTCCCGAATTAAAGCCCAGAAAGCCCAACTAAAGCAGCACCTGGACAGTAGAGTGGCCCTGAGCAGCTCTCAGAGAATGAAGGTATGACCCTTAATCTCTATCTGCTGCGTCTGCGGCGGATGCTCGGTTACCACAGCAATCGCTGACCTAATCCTACATTAATGAATGTTTTAACTGCATTTAAAGGTGCAGTGTGTAAAATTAGTGTATAATCACCTGTAACTATGAGTCACTGTGTTTTCGTCAGCTTAGAATGAGCCCTTCATATCTACAGAGGAAGCAGCTCCTCTTCCAACAGAGGCTGCCGCCGCCATGTTTCTACAGTAGCCCAGAATGGACGAACCAAACACTGGCTCTAGAGGGCGCCTTTCAAATCTTCACGCTCAAGCAGCTTGAATTTGGTAGTGCTGTAGCTTGGATTGGAGGACGTATAAAGGAGAAGAATCAGTGGTTGATGTCGGTGCTGTCTGTTGTGAGAAGTTTGAGAACCCAAATTTAGACAAATGGAGGATCAGATTTATTATTTAGCACAAGAAAAAGCGAGGGAGGGTGAATCCTCAGTGTCAAAGAAGAGAAAGAAAAGCCTGATCGTCACTGTAGGTTCTACTACACGCTTGGAAAGGGAGGGGTGATGGAGGGGATTCAGTTGGTTGCAATATGCAGCCTCACCACTAGATGTCACTAAATCTTAAAGGACCCATATAATGGAAAACTGAACTTTCCTCACTTTCTTCAAATATGCGTTTCAAGCAGTATGTAAACAAGTTTAAAATGCACTGGTCTATGAGGTCTATATATGGAAACTAACCCGCAAAACCAGCAACACAGGAACCCACCAATTTGGATAAATCAACCTATACGGGCTGTTCTGCTCTTTCAGAGAGATTCAGAGTGGTTTGGTGTGAAATGGTTCAGATGTCTTTACAGTGGTGGTGATAGGAACCAGGGGTCGCCATGACTACAACACAAATATAGACATTTTATTTACTATCCAGAACCACCAGTGAACCTACACGAGTCTTCTGAGTTTATATGGAACATTGATGATGGGAAAATAGTGGAAAATCTGAAATACGTTTTCTTTGGGGACTATTTTGCCTCACAACACCCTGCATATCATGTATCCCTCCACCATGAATGGATCTTTAGAGTGAGTTCTAGGCCAAACGGTGTTCAGAACCAGTTTATTTTAGAGATGGACATCTGGTTCCTATCACTGTTTCACCCCAAACCACTCTGTACAACTTTGTTTACATCTCAACAACTTAATTATGCAGATATTTAAGTATTTATCTATTTATTCACCCCAATTTAACTATGAATGTTATTCACTCCCCACTTCAACATTTCTCTGAAGAGAATTTATACCATTTGTGGCAAAACTAAGGCCAGAATTCAACCAAGATGTGACCACTGGTTCTCGCAAAATATGTATCCAGAAAATACACATACAGATTCTCAGTAGTCAAAACTCTCCTATAGGAATAGGTCATTAGTGATGATGCATTGGTAAAGAGATGTGTTTTGTGTTCCTGCAGGACTTGGAAGCGGAGATAAAAAGCCTTGAGAGCTCGAAGAATGAATATGAGAGGATGTGTTATGAACAGGTACCTCGTTACAGCCGCAAACATGCAAAACACACAAACACAAAACAGGCTGAACGCTGTGAACATGCTGTCGCACATGCCAGGCAAGGTCAGTTTGATTTGGTAATATTGGATTATATGACTGAACACAGTCTGACGGCTCATGACTTTGAGTACAGTGTTGATTTATAAAGCACAATTTAGACACAAAGGCCATTCAGACTGCTTTACATGAATAAAAGCAGCTTTTAGAAACAGCTGTGTGTGTGTGTGTGTGTGTGTGTGTGTGTGTGTGTGTGTGTGTTTCAGTCTCAGGCGTTTCTGCAGGTGCGCAGTGAGATGGCAGCTCTGCAGGGCTGAGTTGCAGAGTCTGTCCTCCAGCCAGCAGGGGGAGCTCCAGGCAGAGAGGACGCTCAGTCGCACACTGCAGGAGAAATGCAAAGTTAGTTCTCCATCTCCAAACTCAACTTTTAAAAGATTTATACCGATTGAACATTTTTATTACGAAACATAAAAAAACAGCACAATCTGGTCAAGAATTTTTTTTGTTCAATACCAAATGTAGTGCACCAGACTGCTAGTTAATACCATGGGTGTTTGGTTGATTCTGATTGGTCTAACTCAGGGGTTCCAACCCAAATGTTAAGAAGAGCCATTTTGTCCCGTTTCAACAAAAATCGACCCACCTTGGGAGCCACAAAATTTCATGTCCATTTTACTGAAGTGACGTTTTACCATCTTGGCTGTAAACATGTCTCAGTATGTGCTAAAATATAATATAAACATAAACACAGACTTACTTTGCTCTGTCTTAAGCTTTAACTCAGCTATAGCTGCTTTTCTCACATCTCCAGCAGGAAACTTTTCCTCAAAAGTAGAACAGTTTCTGTAAAATGTCTCTCAACGTTCGACTTTTACGAGCCTGAAGTCGCTTCTTATTCTCCAGCTTCTTGTTGAATTTTCCTGTTCCACCTTAAATAGTGACAGGACGTAAGTGCCAGCACCGTTTAAGGCGGAACGGGAGGATTTAAACAAGAAACTGACTTCAGCTTCACAACCTTTTAGTGTTTGTCAGTTTCTCACTGCAGATTAAACGTATCAGGAAACCAGCTGGAGTGATTATAAACACAAATAAGCCCATTCGTCTCCAAATTATCGGCGTTCGTCTTAAATCTCTCTCTTTGCCTTTTTGTTAGCTACTAACGAGGCGAGATTGTTGTCTGCATTGCTATGGTACCGCCGTCTGTTTTCACACATGCGCAGACTGAGAGAAAGGAAAGAAATCAGAGTAAGAGTTTACATGCACTGAGAAATCTGATTACTGAGCTAAAATCCAGCCTCTTTATCAGATTTCTTTATCAGATTTCTTAATCAGATTTCTAGAGCTTACTCTGATCTAAGATATCAGAGTGAGCTGTTTACACGACCATTTGAATAATCAGATAACTGCAGAAATCTGATTATGATCAGATTATTGAGTGCATGTAAATTATTATCTCTTTTAAAACATTTGAGGGAAATTCCCTGAAAACCCAGTAAGTTGGGGGAGTGAGTGGCTTTTACTGTCCACAAAGGAGGACGAAGTGGTTTTAGAATTACTGGCCTAGTGGAGCACTCCTACCTCTAACTGAGTGTGTGTGTGTGTGTGTGTGTGTGTGTGTGTGTGTGTGTGTGTGTGTGTGCGTGTAGATTCTGGAGGAGTGTGTAGTGAAGTTAAGCGCAGAGAGAGATGAAACAGAGCTGAGGATGAGGGAGGTCAGCCAGGAGTCTCAGCAGGTACATCTACCACCACGCAGTGCATTTACATTGACCCAGGCTCGTCCTCTGCTTTAGCTGGCTGTATGCGGCTGTTACGAGGGCGTTACATGCAAAATCCAGTAGAAATTTTGTCTAAGTCAATATTTACATAATTAATGCTTTAGAAATTTTGCATAATCATGAAGTCAACTAAGTGCATATCAGTAAAGCAGCACTATGTACGTTTTGGGGATTTGGCGCCCCCTCTATGTAATTGCACGCAGCGTGCAGAGGAACATTCTGTAGCTTCGGTTGTGCTTCGGACCCCCAAAAGTGGATGAATCTAATGATCAGTCAAAACTTGGTCGCGTCTTCTTAGGATGTGAGTGAATTACCTACTATTGTCATCATATCTTCATCAGTATTGAACATGTGTTGATTCTGAGATCATTTGAGAGGAAGGTGAAGGTGTGAAAAATAGGTGTAAAATTCTCAAAAAAAAGTTTTAAGTAAATAAATAAAAGAATCTTTTGGTCCCCAATTCACTTGTTTTTGCTTTTCACCCCATCCCTCGTCTGTCCCACTCTTCTGTCCGCAGATTTCGGAGAACCTTCAAGAGGCGCACAGCTGGTTCCGCTCCAGGTTTGACAGCCTGAACAGTGAAGTGGAACCTGAGGAGCATCCTGAGTCCAGCGGGAATGTAAAGGACATCCCAGCCCCAGAACAGGATACGGGCGAGATATCCTCCAATAACAGATCCGTGAGTAACAGCTTCGGATCGGGATCTGGAGGAAAATCTGATTCACACATTCCTTTAATTTTAGAACTGGAACTATACAGATTAATAGACGCTCACATCCCGAACAATTAGCATGGTGCTAACTGCAGGCCTGAATCATCACACACTCGCCTCAAACTGTGTGGAGTTGTTCAGTAATCCATCTAAGTGCTGTTCAGACTGCCAGCACAAATCAGATTTTTTTTGGCATATCCAGATTGGATTTAGGCTTTGTTCACACAGCAGGTAAAAGTGGCCCAAATCTGATCTTTTTTCTATATATGTGACTCAGATGTGTGTCTGTGTGTCGGTGTGATCAGATAAACACACTGAATCTGACATTTTCGGTTCCGATTTGAGACGCGTTCATTTGTGGTACTGAAATCCGATACGTGACGATAGCGTGACGCTCTGTCCTTTTACACATGAGGGTCAGTTTAGGAGCTGATCTGTTCAGACTGATGTCGCATACAGACCACATTTAAAATATAATGTGAACAGCCAAACAAAACAGATCAGATTTGGTGAGAAAATCAGATCTGGGCCACTTTTACCTGTCTGAACGCAGCCTTTGATAGTCTAGACAGAAAAAAAAGCACATGAAATCTGATTTTTGTGAATCGGATATAAAGCTCATTTGGAGGTGGTTTGAAATGGGATTCCAATCAGATTTTACATGTGTGTCTCAGTCTGGACGCTCAAATCGGATTTCAACATGTCTTTTGCGTGACTCGCAACGACAACATCGAATCCAGATTCGTTTGAAATCCGCATCACCAGCATAGCTACGTAGTTACTGACGCCTACGTTGTTACCACGGCAACCCATGCAGACAGACGATGGGTTGCATGATGTCTGGAAACACAAATCCAATCTGATCACTCGTAACAGAGCGGACGGTCATCTCAAAAGATCTGGCTTGAGAAACAAATCGGATTCCCCTGCAGTCTGAACTCAGCCTAATAGACTTGATTATGTGGTTTGTGACACTATGATGCACTGTTATCTATAAACATGGACTAAAGTGCGTTAGCGTAAAGCTAAGAACAGTAGCAGCCTGAATTTTGTCTGTACTTTTGTTCATTTTTGTACATAACTTTATGTATAACTCTCATTTTCACTGTAATACACACCTAACAGTAGTCACTAGTTTTCACTGGTAACTGTGACCGATCGATTTGTCACTGATTGTGTTAACATGCACTTAACAATCCGATCATTATCGAATTTCTGGAGTTATCTGATTATTCAAATGGTCGTGTATACAGCACACACTGATTGCTTAGATCAGATTAAGGCCTAGAAATCTGATTAAGAAATCTGATAAAGAGGCTGAATTCAAGCTCCGTAAAGGGGTTTTTCAGTGCATGTGTACTCTTACTCTGATTTCTTTCGTTTCTCTCAGTCTGCACATGCGCAGTGTTTAACACACCACAAAACACTTTGGAAACGATGGTGAAACCGACTACATGCTTAACGAAATGAACAGTTTGAACATTGTTCATCTTCTAGACCCCATATTTCAAACGCAAAGCACAATCATATCCGGCCCGCAAAATTATTTTAACTTTCTTTTGATATTTGCCCGTTTCACAGCGCGCTAGACTACAATCCCCAGCATGCACTGCAACGCTGCCACCATGCTCCCCCAGCAGGTTACAGTACAATTCTACCACACCTGTCACATCACCAGACACACTGGCTGTGTTTTAGTGGCAGTTAGACCAACATAAACACTACATACACTAAAAACACTGAGCAGCTCAGAAAGTGATCCTAAGAATTAATGAACTTACAGCAAACAGCGTCCAGTTCAAGTGCATAGGTAGGTTAAAAGACTGACCTCTTGGGGATTTTCAGGGGAGATTTTACATTTTGATATATAGACACACCAATATTGACACCCTTGGTTAATTATGAGCAAAATGATTTTAAAAAAAAATTCTTAATTATTTATCTTTTTTTGATCATTCATTCAAAATATTAACAAAAATCTAATCTTCACGTATAATGATCAGCCACATGCTTTGAGGCGAGTCTGTGGTGATTTAGTTGGTTAGCACGATGCTAATTGGTGATGTATTAGCTTCTATTACTAGTTCATTAGCCTCGTAGCTCCAGTGCTAAAACTGTAGAAGCGAACTTCAGACGCTAAACACGTCTCAGCTGTTCGTCTATGTTTGGTTAAATAGTGAAATTGTGTGAATCTTGTGTTATGTTGTGTTTTGTGTTCAGGTTCTGCAGTGCGTTGCGGAGCCGGAGCTGGAGCGCTGGGCGTCCACCCTGCAGCGCTGGGAGACGAAGAGGGAGCTGGCCCGCATCGCAAGTGGACACAAACGCATTGGACGAACGCACTCATTAACGTAGCACACTCCCTCATATACAGCCATACGGGCAGAAGTTTTAGACCCCCAGTCAAATAGCATGTTTTGTTGACACACTTAAATATGACATTCTTAATGACAAATTAAGCCCAGTTACGCTCAGTTTCGCTGCTGGACTGAGAACCAGAAATATCCAGCCAGCAGTGTCCTGTGGGCAGCGTCCTGTGACCACTGATGAAGGACTAGAGGATGACCAACACAAACTGTGCAGCAGCAGATGAGCTATCGTCTCTGACTTTACATCTACAAGGTGGACTGACAAGGTAGGAGTGTCTAATAGAGTGGACAGTGAGTGGACACAGCGTTTAAAAACTCCAGCAGCACTGCTGTGTCTGATCCACTCGCACCAGCACAACACACACTAACACACCACCACCACGTCAGTGTTACTGCAGTGCTGAGAATGATCCACCACCCAAATAGGGCCTGCTCTGTGAGGGTCTGACCACTGAAGAACAGGGAGTGCGCTCCTGTATGGTCAGTGGAGCTGATAAAGTGGACAGTGAGTGTAGATATAAGGAGGAAACAGATGAGAATGTGTGATATAGTTGTATAGTTTATTGTATAATATGAAATATATAAGCTTTTCTGTGAGGACATTCCAGCAAACACAACTATGTATATTTTGCTATTATATTTGTGTTTAATGTTTTTCCTGTAGCAGCGGTTGCTGTATTTGTGGCTGAGTATGAGCTGTAAGTGGTCAGTCTAGCCTCATTGTCCACCCGGGTCCAGTGAAGGTGTGATTTATTGAGATTTCTCTGCATTTATGATGAAAATAAGTCATATTTCTTACACAAAAGCTATGTTTATTGTATATATTATCATGTACACGATTCATATTTGTGTGAAAATCAAAAGGAGGCATCTGAATCAACACCTTTATAATAATGTCAAAGTCAGATCAAAGCTTTTTTTGTTGTTTTTTAAATTTATTTTTTTATTTCATTATTTTTATAAGTTTGCTGCTCTTTATATTGTGTGTTCATCTAATAATGAATAAATCAGTAACTAATAAACGGCCCAACATTACTCTGAATAAAATCTTACTACATTAACTTACATTAAAAGTTTATTTTTTTCATCCTCTTGAAAAGTTTCCATTTTCAGGGTACAGATATGGTCGTGTGCAAAAGTTTGCGCACCCCCAGTCCACATTTCCACATTCAAGGCGTCCTCTAAGGCTTTAGGGCTACGTTCACATTACAGGCCTCGCTGCTCAAATCCGATTTTTTGCTCAAATCCGATCTCTCTGACTCGATGGTTCACCCTCGTTTAGATAAGTGACGTTAACTACAAAACTACAAAACGTAATCACTGCACTTACATAATATCTATCAGATAAATATAAATAAAACTACAAAACAAAAGAAACCTGTTTATTTATTTGTTTAATTAAAGAGAATAGTGCTTACAGTGATCAGATACAGATAAAACTGTCATGGGTGATAAACATGAACACAAAACTAAAGAAGGGAAAATTGAGAATAAAGAAGAAATAAAATAAATAGATAAATTAACCTCAAATATATATAGTCTTAATAAATGTTGTGAGATGCCAGTGAAAGGACAGTTTAGCAGTTTTCCATAGTTGTGACCTAAAATCTCATAATTATGATTCCTATGACTTAGTATTTCCTAATTATGACTTAGTATCTCATAATTAAGACTTGGTATCTTGTAATTATGACTTAGTGTTAAAATTATCACTATCTCATGATAATTATGACTTAATATTGTGATAACTATGACTTAGTATCTCCTGATTATAATAATTATGACTTAGTATCTCATAATTATGATACTTATGACATAATATCTCATAATTATGACTTAGCAACTTATAAATACGACTTAGTGTCTCCTAATTATGATAACTGTGATGTAATATCTCATAATTATGACAACGTCTCAATTACGATGTAATATCTCAATCATGACTTGGCATCTCATAATTATGACTTAGTATCACATAATTATAATGACTATGACTTAGTATCTCATAAGTATGATACCTTTGACATAATATCTCATAATTATGACTTAGTATGTTATAATTATAACAACTATAACTCAGTGTCTCATAATTATGACTTAGTATTGAATGCTTATGATAATTATGACTTAATATCTCATAATTATGACTTTGTATTTCATAATTCTGACTTAGTATCTCATAAATGTGATGACTATGACTTTGTATCTCAGAATTCTGAGTTACTATCTCGTAATTATGATAATTATGAATTACTTTTTTCTAATTAAGACTTAGGATTTCCTCCTAATTATGAGATACTAATAATTATTATGATATTATTGAGCTATATTTATGTGAAACGAGCCGTAAACGAGCTTCCACAGTTTATTTTTAGCGTCTCACTTTCTTGTTTTGATGACGTGTACGAAAGCCCCCGCCTCCTCCGGTGGGGGGCGCTGCTCCGCTCCGCCCGCTCTGCTGCCACGTAATCCCGTCTTAATCCCTGGCTCAGCGGCGGAGGGTCCCGGTACCGAGCAACGGGGGTCCGGAGCAGCGCGTGCCCGGAGACACGCGCAGTAAACCCGGCCGAGCGGACAGCCGCCGCGCTCGGTGTGTTTCGGATTTTTTACGACCACGTGGTCCGTAGCGCACCGGGCACGGAGCGCGCGCGCGTGTGTCTCGGCTGTTACTTTTTTGTCCTCGCGCTCTCGCCGTACTGCGCGAGCACCGAGCTCCAACTTTTCCCTTCGCTGCAGAGCAGAGCAGAAGCGCGCGAGGGGTGAGCGGAGCGCGGAGTTCACGCGCAGTGGAGGAAAAACTACAGACAGAACCCCGAAATATAACTTTAATGGCGTCATAGGCAGCGCGAGAGCGAGGTAAGGCACGCGCGCGACTTCTGGCACGTTCCACGGGGGGGGGGAGTGTGTGTGCGCGCGCGTGCACGGTACTATGTGTGTGTGTGTGTGTGTGTGTGTTTTGCTTACCTAGTTGGCTTCTTTTTTTTAATTACCCGTTCCACCTTAAATGGTGCGGCGCCTCAATGTAACTGCTGCACCATTTAAGGTGGAACGGGTAATTAAAAAAAACAACAAGGCAATTTCAGCCTCATGTGAAGTTGGTGGCACAAAAATCAAGCTTTTCGTGCTTCATCCTTTATTTATTTGTTGTTTTTGTTTGTTTGCATGTAAATAAACAAATAAAAACACGTCTCGCGCCCACCTGTTGGGCTATTCTTAGAGTTTGTGGTGGGAGATTTTGAGCTGAACCAGCAGCAGAGAGGAGTTTAGGCGTGTCCCAAACCGAGACCAAGTCTCTTACGTAGTGCACTATTTAGGGAGCGAGAGTGACACTCTATCCCAGAGTTCACACTCCCTGTTTTAGTGCACTTTCTGGCGTGTCTCAATTCTCAAAAGTCCGAGGATGGCTCTTCAAGAGTTCTTTAGAAGAGGGAATGGTTGTATCTAGAACCAGGAGTTCTGCATAGAACCGTCTGCATGCTTAAATGATTCTTTGCATGGTGAAATTGGTGAAATGGTTCTTCTCTGCTTTGAGAATGTGTTGTTTATGGTTCTGTATAGAACCTTTTTGAAAATGGTTCTAGATAGCACCAAAAAGCATAAACGATGTCAAGCTTGAACCCTTTTTGGAGCTGTATAGAACCACATACAACACTTTTTCCATCAATCACCATGCAGAGAACCCTTAAGCATGTAATTCCATTCCTTTTACTAAAGAACCCTTGAAGAACCACCTTTTTGAAGAGTTTATATTCCTATGGTTCAGCACGCTGATGATGGTTCTAATGGGCGGTTTGGGGAATATCGGGGAAGAACGCTTATAAGGTTGTGAGAAAGTTCTGACTGCTCTTTAAATAAGACACAGTACAGATACAGAGCAGCCAATCAGAGCAGAGAGCTCATTTACATACATGAATATTCATACATAAACACAAACGTCTTTGTAGTTTTTTGCTTTTTTGCATAGTTTAAAAGCTCCTGTTACCATTTTGCTTTGGGTTCAAATAACAGGTGAATGGACCAATAAAAACGCACAATGAGTATCATAGAAACATACTGAAGTATTGCAATATTACATTTTATATATATATGTGTGTGTGTGTGTGTGTGTGTGTGTGTGTGTTCTTTCATAAAGACAGTAGTTCAATATAGAGCCATGAACACTCAAAGAACCCTTTGCATGCTTAAATGGTTCTTTGCGTCGTGAAATGGTTCTTCAGATTGATGGAGAATGTGTTGTGTATGGTTCTGTGTGGCACCTTTTTGAAAGTGGTTCTATATAGCACCAAAAGCGTTCTTCTGTGGTTACAAACTTGACATTGTAACAATAGCAGAACCTTTTTGGTGCTGTATAGAACCGTATACAGCACATTCTCCATCAATCCGAAGAACCATTTGACTATACAGATGGTTCTGTGAGTGTTTGTGGTCCTAAATAGAACCCTTTGTCTTTACTAAAGAACCCTTGGTGAACCATCTGCACACACGGGTAACTTCACAGGAGAGAGACAAACGTTCTCATGTTTCAGTGAAAGTTAATAGAAAAGTGAATTTAAAAGTGATTTGTTCACAGTAACGTTTGAGTGTTTCTGTTGGTGCGTTTCTCATGTAATCTTGATTCAGCGAAGAGCAGCTGGTGTTACAAAACCGTGTCAGAAACGGAGGAGTGACAGTAGGATGTGTACAGGAGTTTTTTCTAGAATAAAAGTCTCGTTATGTGAAGCCGTATTGATCCTGACGTCTCTGGGACGCAGACTCCTCCTGACCGAGTGATCAGTTAGACGGCTGTCCCCTCACTACGCTGTTGGAGTGATAAACGAGTGTGTGATGGTGATAAACGAGTGTGTTACGGTGCTAAACGAGTGTTTGATGGTGATAAACGAGTGTGTTACGGTGCTAAACGAGTGTTTGATGGTGCCAAACAAGCGTGTTATGGTGCCAAACGAGTGTGTGATGGTGATAAACAAGTGTGTGATGGTGATAAACAAATGTGTGATGGTGCTAAACGAGCGTGTTATGGTGCCAAACGAGCGTGTGATGGTGATAAACGAGCATGTGATGGTGCCAAACGAGCATGTTATGGTGCCAAACGAGTGTGTGATGGTGATAAACGAGCGTGTGATGGTGCCAAACGAGCGTGTGATGGTGCCAAACGAGCGTGTGATGGTGCCAAACGAGCGTGTGATAGTGCTAAACGAGTGTGTGATGGTGCCAAACGAGCGTG